GAACTTATGTTAGTGGCCAAAACAATAAAATCTGTCCTAGAAGTGCCACTTTTGAGCAGCAGTAATTCTAGCAAAGACATAAAAGTACTGTTGATTGGTTTTTACATTAATAGATAGGGATATAGAATAGTCCCTTCTAAGGTGAAGGGTAGGGGAAAGGGGCAATGCGTAATGACTGCTGCTGGCTGGCAAAATGCTGTATGTAAATGAATAGAAAGGAGTAATCACTGTTTGATGTATTGCTAGGGTTGTTTTTTAAATTTTTTAAAAATTTCATCTCATCTGTTTCCTAAATTTGTTCTAAATGTGGAACCTTTGGAAATCCACTTGTGAGTGGTGTGTATACTTACCCTATTATTCACTAAAAGGATTGAGTATACCTCTTGTTTTAAGCTTTTTTTTTTTTTAAATTGATTGTCAAAGTCATCCATATATATGCAATGAAATTATAATGTATGAACAGAGATGGCCTTATGTTGTCAACACTGCTCTGGCCACAAATTCAAAACACAGACTGCTGTGAAGAAAACTGGCTGTGTCCCAGCCAAAACCTGAACAGTGTCTGAAAGGAAGGGACAAAGCCAACAGACAAAGAGTTAATCCAAAGTAGGTTGCAGTACTGGCCTGACCAGAAGAGATCAAAAGCTGCCAAGCAGTTGTGTGTTACCTATGAGTGCTTTGGCACAGCAAGGAAAGGAACAGGCTGGCCATTAGTGTGGTGTATTTCAGTGTGCCACCAGTGGTTATCATGGATGAATATGCAGCCTTGACTCTGCTGAGAACTGGGCCTATCTATGGTTCTGTCTTGGACATTTCTACAGTACTCCTTACTATATAAGAGCTTTCAGTGGTTGTTTTGCAAGTATGGATATCAGTATCCTCTGAACTTGAATAAATCAAGGAAATATAGTTTCTTTCTAGTTCTGACACTTGAGTGAAGTGAAATGTCACCTCTTTGCTCTGCAGTGGAGGTATCCCCATTTTTGTGAGCTGGAGATCAGTGCATGTTGTTTGCCTACCAAGCTGAAGAGCAATTCCATGCCAGACTTATGGCCCTCTGCAGAGGACTAACCCTCCCCATACATACATAACTGCAATTTTAGTGTATCTCCTCAAGTTGCCATTGTGAAACTGTAATGGGTTTATTCTTTAATACCTTGATTACAATAGATTACTCAGTAGCATGAAGACCAGGCACAGCCAAGGCTGCCATCTCTTTTGCCATGCTTGTGGCATCTGGACTGCTGTTTATAACTTTGAGAATGTACAGAGTGACCTACTGATAATGTTGAATGTGATGGTGCAGAAGTTGAAAAGGGAGAAAAAGACTTATCCCTCTGATGACTAATAAATCCTATTTAACCTTTCCAATTTATTTTCCTATCTTTCAAAAGGCTATGTAAATACATTGTCAACATTTCCCATTTTTTCTTTGAATCCATGCAAGTAGCTGGTTTGTTGCATCTCTTGCCTTGAGGATTCTCCTCTTTTTCTTTGCCAGGTTCTCCAAGTCATCATTCACACAGGTTGCTTGATGTGATTACTGTTCTGTTCTCACCTCCAAGATGCCATTTAGTTTGAACTTGAACACGGAATTGTCCTTTTTGTAATGTAAGCTAAGGTTATTTCAGTTTATTTCCTTCTTGCTACGCCCCCCTCCAAGGTTTGTATGTTTTTGAAACCAGCCTTCTGGAAGAACATGAAACACCACAGACAATTGCTCTGTAATGAAGTGATTTGTCAGTGAACTATAATTCTGAAGTGTAGTTTTTAGTTAATTAAATACTAAAAAAATACCAAAAACTGCTACAAGCCCTGCTATTTTAAGATCAAGTTCCATGTCTTTGAGTCTCAGTTTTTGAAATTATGCAGATTTTCTGCATTAGCAATAAACTTTAAAACCAAGAATGAATGAAAAGCACATTCTGATCAGTTAACCAAGGAAAGCTGAAATCTGGTAGTTTAGCAGCTGTCTACAAATCAAAAGTCATAGAATAAATTTTCGGGTTGTGGTCTCATAGTGTTGAGTAATTTGAAATTAAATAATTGCTGCTGTAACTATTTAAATGAATTTTCTGTGATCTAATGATCTAATTTTAAAGCTTTAGCTTTAAATGATCATCTGCATTCCTCCTTTACCATGCCCATCCACTTAGACTTAGCTACATAATTCATTTTGCCCTTGCTTTAAGGTAGACTGATGTGATAGTGCTGTTGCACTGAATCAGGAAGTTAGGACTAAGAATGAGTGATTTGTTTGAAACTCATGTAAATGCTATTTAGGTTAAAGACCAGCTGGTGTGAAATTTGTCTCTGAAGGCACACACTAGGACTGATCTAGGCTGCAAATGCCTCTTGCTCCCATTCAGGGTTCCCTATATTTATGCAAATATTCTGCACTTCAGGGTAGCAGTATATGGCAAACAGGACATGTGCACTGGGTTATTTATTCCACCCTAGGCTCTGCTTTTTTGCACATTGTTACATATTCAGTTGCTTTGGTTTATTTTTGTCGCAGAAAATGTATATGCCAAACTGAAGTGGTTTAGAGTAGTCTCTTTAAAGGTAAAGGATAGGGGGAAGGGATAATGCTTGCTGCTGCTGGCTGGCAAAATGTTGTATATAAATGAATGTATTTTGCCTTTTTCTGTGGACAGATGGTATTTTAGGACAATCCTGAAGGTATTTCTTCCCATTATGATTTTTGTAAAGCAGCACAGCAAATTGTCACTTTGTACATTGTTCTAATGGGACACGGTTTTTGGCTGCTGGGTTGCTGTGCAGCACTAAGTGTGAATTATAGCTCAGTGCTGTATCCTGGTGAATCAGTGTTTACAAGTGTCTGCAATAATACAGATCAGATTTCTGAGTGACCCTGCTTGTGAAGATTAATAATTTCAAGCATCTTAATCTCCCTTCCTTCAGCACAGGTGTCTAAAAATAAAGGCTGTGGTTGTGCTTAATTTTGTGAAATCCAGTATGCAGATTTTAACTTGGCTGACTTCCTTGGGTCCATCCAACCACCTCTTCCTCCCAGCTTGCAAAGAAAATATTTTTTCTGACTCAGGTCTGTTGCAGCCCTTCTAAGGGTTCTTGCCAGCTCTGAGTGGCTGAAGGGTCTTATAATTTTGTCCTTATCCAGCCTTCTTTTGCTGATATATAAAGAGTTGCTATTTGCTCTGAGAAACAGCTTGTTATGCACTTCTGCAGTGACTCCGGGGAACATTACTGTCCAAATAGAGGAGCTGAGGTACACTGTGAAACTGAGGAGCTTTAACACCACCTTGGCAGGATTGATTCAGCATATTTGCAATTTCAACCTCACTGCTGACCCCTATATTGTGTCAGTTTTGGGGTTTGAAATTTAGCCTTGGATCAAACTTGCTTCTAAAATTATATTTATAGCAGGAGAAGAAATCAGAAGAATAAAATTATATTAAAAGAAACCTTATATGAAATTCCTGGGAAGGAATGGATTAGGTTGCCAAGTACTCCCCTAAGCCTCTGGTTTTTCAATTATGAATAAGAAAGCAATATGAGCAGCAGCTGACTTGCTGATCTCTGTCTTCACTTAAAAGTCAGAGCTCAGGCATTAATTTAGAGGACTGAATGCTTTTTTTCACTAGAGCCTTTACAATTCTACCATTCACAGTTAATATTCGTGCTCTGCAAGGCAGGTAATTTTACTAGAGAAAGAATACATCAAGGCTCATTCTGCTTTTAATGGAATTAGTAGAACTTTTACTGTTGCTTGTAAAAGGAGGAAGATTAGACCAAAAAGATCTATGTGTTAAGTATGAATTTGTATGATACAGATTTAGTCACACCATTTTGGGTATATTTAAAAAAGGTTGCCTCTTTCTAGGGCATTGTCTTGGTTTCAGTCTCTCCATAATGAGTTTCTATTTATGGAAGAGATTGAGATAAGTAGCATGCAGATGTCTAAAAGATAAATGTTTTTGCATGTGTTTTCTTGCTTTATCTTTATGCAAATGCTTAATTATTAATGCTTTTTAAAGACCACAGGAGGTATGCAGACTTAATTTTTTTTTCTGTATGGTTAGTAGCAGCAGTTTAGGTCTTTGCTTTCATTTGTAAGTATTTCAAACTCTGCCACAGAAAGGAAGAATTGACTTTTATGTATTTAAATACACATAAAGATTAAAAGAATTACAATCCTCATTTTTCAGTCACCTACATCATGATAATGGATCTGCAATATGAAATTTCTACAAAGTGCTATTACTATAATTTGTTTCTATTTTTCAACTTAGAAAAACATTTCCAACCTAAATTCTTAGCACACATTTTCAAGTTTCCTGATAATATAACCACTTCTGTATCTCAAGAGGTTATGTAGTTTATTGCTTTTGACTCAAAAAAAAAAAAAAATCTTTCAGGCAGCTTTGCTATTTTTTAGTAAAATAATGTATGGCATTAAAAAAGAAATTAGAAATACAGTTACTACCACCTAGATCACAGTGTTATGTGTTTAAATGTGTCTTCCTGTGCACTGTATTCTGTATGCTAGTATTGAGTATTCTATTCTGTATAAATTCACTATCAGTTAAAAGAGCTTTGTAGTACACATCAAATGTAACTATTCCCTTTTAATGTGATGCCAATAGTGAAGTGGTAAATGCATAAACCAAAGTACTTAAGGCATGTAGGTATTCAAGGTGCCATGTTAGTGTGGAAATGAAGGATACCATGAACAGAGGGACTTATAATTAAAGTGTGAGCCCTTTCATAGAGTAGCAGCAACCTCCCTTCTTGATCTTTGACTGATCTAGTGTAACACACTGCCTTAAAGATGGGATAATAATGGAATAGCCTTTGCTTATAGTTTCCTGTAGAAGAAATCGGTTTTAATAGTAGCTTTTGTATTTGTGCTATGCAGAACTTCATTAAATTCATTTCAGCCTTTATATTTTATGTTCCATTTTGGGTTGTAAGTAGGGAGTGCTTTCTTAGGTTTTCTTTTCCTGCTAAGCACTTACATTTAGTGTAAAGAGTGAAATCCAAATCTTTAATCATTAACAGGCCAAAGAACTGTTGAAGAATAAAAAAAGTCAGTCAACACAGTTTAATAAAAGCTATACAATCAAATTACATTATATATTAGTGTGCATTTTTACTGTTGTAATATCTATAAAATCGAGGCAGTCTATAAATCATAAAATTATGTAGGTACTTACCATTTTAAAAGCAGTATCAAGTGGAATTGGTGAAAATCCCCAGCATGTCATCAATAGTTGGTTAAAATAATGAGCCTTTATGGTATTATTTCCAAGTGTACCATCTGAAATCAGAGGAAATTTCCTGACAGTTGTATATTTTGTTGAAAAAAACCATTCAGATGTATATTACCCCCAAAATCCATGTCTGCTGCCTTCTACAGAGTACAAGGAGAGTGATTATTTTGAAAATGTCTTTTAGCTGGGTTACTAGGTAACTTACACTGTGCTACATGAAAGAGTTTGGACTGCATTTTGTGAAGCTGAATTCCAGTGCAATGAGTGAAGGAAACAGATGGAGTAAGAGGAGAACAGATGGGTATCAAAAAAACTACAGCTGCCATTTTCAGTACCTGTGCATTTACTGCCATAAATCAATTTATTTTCATTTACTGAAGAAGGAAAAGCATTAATTATTAAGCCAAAGCACTACAGGTCCCAGAATCACTATATGTTGAAAGCATCTATTTGTAGTAGTTAATTTGGATCCTAAGTGAGCTACATCTGAGAACAAGTTTCTGTGGATAAGAATGTCACCATCAGTCCAGTCATTTCACTCTGCCAGGGAGATTTAAATATCTCTCATACCGTGGTGGGGAGGATTAGTTGGTTATTAGTTACTATGTTGGACAGCTTTAATGTTTTCCTTGTGGACAAGAGGTGGGCTACTCGAGTGCTGCAGTGAGTGCTAATGGACTGCTCTGCCACAAGGCTTCCAGCAGGCACCTGAACCTACAGAGCCCAGAAGCAAGGCCAAGAGTGCAGGAGGCCACTTTGTTGCTCCTGCAGCAGCTTTGCATTGCAAGACATGAAAAGGTGGTTGAGGAAATCAAAACGCTATTACTGTATATATCAATACACCAGCAGCCCTTATTTGCTGTGGCACAGCTGCTCTGTCACATACTTGACCTTGACCCAATTTGATTATCCCTGTGGTTAAACAGGAAGTTCAGCTGAGAGTCCTCATTTCTCTCTGCCCTCACCCTGCTGGTTACTGCTAGCTTGTTGCTGATCCTCTTGAATTTTTATATGTGCACCTGTCCATTAGAAACTAGATGGTGGCTGTCCAGACAATTTGCATTTATTTTAGAATGCATCGCAATTAGTGGACTCGGAAAATTGTAAAATGCAAATAGAAATCACCCTTGTATTAGAAATATGTGGGAAATGAAGAAATTCAGGTCAGAATGTGTAATTGCTCTCTATCTTGTTGAATTTATATCAGGGAATTTTATGCCTAGAGGCACTGCATGAAGTTGCCACTATATTTTGGTGTAACAGAGGCAGAAGTATGAAAAGGTCTGTAACTTGGAATTGGTTTTCTGTGACATTTTTGTCACAGTTCCTTTTAGATTTTCCTGAGTAGTTTGAATTTAAAAATTCAAACTATTTTCAAATTTGGAAAAAAATTTACTGCTTCATTTTCTAATTGAAAAAATAGTAGGGGTTAGAATCACTACTTTTTGTAATGCAACATAACTGAAATACAGTATTTTCTGGTCATATGTAAAAAGATTGGCTAGGCCATGGTCCTTAATCTATTTAATGCAATTTAGAGCCTAATGTGGTAAACCTTGAAGTTTTTAACCTTTGTTAGCTGTTTGTAGAGTACCTTCCCAATATTGTCTCATTCAAGGTGAGCATTTTAGTGCTAGCAGTTTCCCATTCTGAGTCTGGACTACAGTCTTCAGCCATCAACAACCCTGTTTGAAATGCATCATCTTCTCACACTGTTAAGCACATTTCTGTTGGATTGGGATGTAGCCTATGCATTGGGCAAATAGTTCAGAAGGGGTGTGATGGGATGAAAAGGATGCAAGATGATTTACCTTCATTTCATAATTGAAGTGGAAGAGAAATCAGTGGTTGGTTTCATTCAATTAAGAAACATTAGCAATATCAATCCATTTTCAGAATAGCTCTATTTATGCAGATTCAAATATACTAGATTTTATTAAATATTTTTTGAGTTGAGAATCATAAATGCAGTTGGCATTAGTTTTTTTTGCAGTGACGCTTCTTACAAAATTCTGCCTCTCCATAGTAATCGAGCTGCTTCTGCTTCCCCACCAATCACTCACTTTGCAGTCTGAATTTGAAATAAGTGTGAAATATTTCTTTTAAGCAGGTATGACATAAACTGTAAACTACAGAGCGTTTTTAAGCTATGCATTCAAAAGAGTTTAAAATCTTGACCAGAGTCAAAAGAGTGAGAAATTATTTGATTTTTGTAGTTTAAAGATGGAAAGGGATTAAACTTATTCATTCTAAAAGTATAAAATTGCTTTATGAATTAAACTCAGATTTGTATTTACAATTTATTGCTGTAATTATTTTGAAAACAAACATCCTCACAACACACAAAGTAGTGACTGTTAAATTCCTATTAAACATAATGGCCACTAATGAGTCTGCCCTAATAGGTAACCTTCAGCCCACTGAAATCTGGCAATGTTGGGTCAGGAGCATCTTGATGCCAGTATGGAAGAGCAGTGTAATTATTTTGGTGTATAAAATTAGACTCAAAGACCCCTGGGAAAGGAAAAAGGCCATGCTGCTGTCAATACTCTCATCAGTAAGTGTAAGTGATGTGCAATTTCATTTATGTGTTTGATTTGTATTCAGCCCAGGCTGAGATTGCCATTTCTGAAACTGCCTGATCATTTTGAATTCCCTGGAGGGAATGCTTTTAGAAAAGACAGCAATCTTGCACAGTGCTCTTGCTGATGACAAAATCTGGGCTTCTTGCCCTGACATACAGACTGTAAGAATGTGTATGTAATGCAGAGAAGAGGGCTCTTTCAAAGACCTCCTGGCAGACCTCAGCTATTATGTGCCGAAGGCTGTTACCCAAGGACTCAGACTAATCTAAGTTGCAGCAGAGGAAAGCTCTCTTAAGTGGTCAAAACTCAAGTGCTTGGTCTTTTTAGAATTCTACCCACTATGAAGGATGGAGTGCTGGTTTAAATGTTTCTTGGAGCTCCCATCCCTGTGGGTTTGTTTACACTTCTGCTCAGGGAGAGTCCATACACTTTAGCTTGTTAAGATAGTACAAGGTGAAACAGCTGTGAAACAGCTGTGGGACACAAATGGGAATAAATGCCCAGTATTCACTGGTTTTGGAACATCTGTCAAGAGTCCAGTGTCCAGCACAATTCCCATATTTGTTTCTTCCTGTATTTTTGTCAGGTATTCGATCATTTGTAGTTAAGTAGAGCTTCATCAGGTGATCCAACAGTTGACAAAAATGTATTCTCAACATTATGTGCATACAATATGTGTGAATTAGTCTAAGGGACTAGTTAGTAACTTAACCAAACAGCAGATTCAATTCTGTATGTGAAATTAGAATTTTATATTTAAGGTGTAGGTATCACTTTGAGATAATGAGAACTTTCAAATAAAATACTCTAGTCTGGTTCTGCTTTGTTATTTCACTGTTAAGTAAAAATGAAACTTAAAGTTCAATGTATTTGTTGGTGCTAGCACTATTTCTGTTGTAATTTTGGGATTCTCACTTACTATTCTTAGTTACTTATTCTAAAATATTTGGAAAAAAAAGCCACAGGCAAGCACTTTTTCTCCTGATGCTGATTGTTCATGTTGGAGGGGAAAGATGGAGGTATAAGGGCTTCAGGCAAGTTTTAAAATTTTTAAGCCATGGCTAAAGCTAATTTAGATCACTTGGTGTGGGCTTGAGTGAATGTAGGGGCAAGCTGAGAGGAGGTGGTTAGGTCCATGCAATGAAAAATAAACTTAGGCAAACAGGAATGTGATGAAGAAAAGTGTAAATGAAGGTACAAAGTAATGTAAACTGAAGACAGAACACTGATTATTATATATAGCATAGCATAAAACCAAAGGAACACCCAGGAAACAAAATTCAAGTTGAAAAAGGTCGAGAGGTTTTCTGAAGGTAACACCTGACTTCTTTTGTTCCAAACTCTGATTCTGCAATCCTTCACTTTTTAACAAATAATTCTCACTAAATAGTTGCATGAAAAAATTTCAGTAACTAATCAGAAAACATAGAATGTTAAGCTTTTTGTGTGAAGGGAGGGAATGTTGGGGCAGCATCCAGGAAGATTTCTAGAACACTGAAGAAGAAATAGGATGGAGAGTCTGAAGAAATATTTTTTAATATTTAGCTCTAACAGTCAAATGTTAATAACTTAGAATGATAGAAACAGGAATCAAAGCACCTTGTTGTCTGTATATGATTAGTAAAGGAACACCTGTGAATGAGAACTTTTAATGATCCAGTTCTGAATATCTGAGAATATATCTGACTTTTTTCTGCCTTTAGACAACTATATTAGCAAAATAACTCATGTTATTATTCCTTGGATGCTTTAAAAAATTATATATATAAAATTTCCTATAAATAGAAAATACTGGCTACAGACACAAATAAGAAAGTGTTAAGAAAAAAAGCTTTGTAAGGAACCTAATTTTCTGATGATGAATGTTCTGTCGAATGGCTATCATGATATGTCCTCCTACTTAGCAATAGGAGAGGGAAGAGGGCTGTATAACTAAATATCTCATCAGAATGATGATCATGTTTAATGTACATTCATTCTGATGAGATATTTAGTTATACATTTTATACATATATTCCTATGTATAAAATGTGTATATGTATATATAGTTATACATTATACATATATTCATTTTCCCTAGCCTTTTTTTTTCCTCCAAACATTCATCTCACTAAAGAATTTATCACTGCAAAGGATGATGCCTAATGTAAAACTTTCTTTGTGCTAGTTATCTTTTACTGATATTAGTGTGACTTTATTCCCTTGCCTCCATCCAAAAGGAAAAATGGGAGTGGCATCATTGCTGTTCCAATGCTTGGGTTTTGCCATGCATTTACTCAAGCCAGAGCAGTTCAGTAAACTTCAGCAGTAATCTTTTTAAGCAAGCATAAACCAGTTATGACCACTATCATAATTGCTATTCTTAAAGCCAAGGGCTGATAGACTGTTGATGAAGAACTAAAAAACAGCAGCTAAAGCTTTTAAAATGAAATGTTTTGTTGCTTTGACTTTCTGTAGC